ACTTTAATTAAGTTCCCCGTTTAATACCCTAATCTTTAAAATGGTAGCTTGTGACATAAAATGAAATCATATTTTTTGCTTTTAATTATTAGTATTAAGCTTTTTCTCTTAAATTTATTTTTGATCTACGTCTAATATATCACCGAATAGTCTTTATTTTATCTTAAACTAAATATTTCAACAACAAAAAGGAATACAAAAAGAGGCGGGCGCCCAATTTTTTTCCAGAGACGAGAAACTAGGAATATTTGTTCACTTGGCCTCAGTGTGGGCGAATACGAAAGCGGCAATGTCCCTTGACAAGAATAGCTCTTCAAATGGTTCACGCATAATTGACTATTATGCAGTGTAGTGAGGTCGTGATAACATCTTGATATAGACTCTTTTTCATAACTATTCCAGACATGACATATTGATTTTGCTTTTGGTATGCAGAATAACAAGTACACAATGACAATTAGTCTATCTCTCTCTCTCTCTCTCTCTCTCCCTCCTTCAGCCATCCATTCAGTCATTCTCTTTCTCTCTGTCTGTCTTCCGGCCCTTCTCTCTCTCTCTCTCTCTCTCTAACTTAGCATTCCAATTTCCCTCTTAGTAACTCTCTTTCTCCCCCCTCGCTCGCTCTCTCTCTCTCTCTCTCTCTCTAACTTAACATTCCAATTTCCCTTTTAGTTACTATCTTTCTCCCCCCCCCTCTCTCTCTCTCTCTCTGTCACACACACATATTCACTAATACCAACTCTCTTTCTCTCTATATCCCTCTCTCTTTCTATCTCTTTCCCTCACATACATAATCATTGGCACGCACACATGCCCGGATCCTTCGTCAGCGTGTTTGTTCGTTTGATTGTGTAAAATTGCCGTGCCACATCGATACCAGTCACGAATACACATTTCTATTATGTTAGTCCATGCAAGCGACGCATTGTTAAATTTCTTTTATTTTCCTCAACTAGATCACGTTCAACTATAGACTTGCTGGCGCTGACTTCAGAGGCGGCACTCCGGGGGAGGGGGGGGGGGGGTACCGCCCCCCCCGAAGTGCAGACCCTTTTACATAGGAAAAGTGCCCCTTTCACTTCAGATAATTTTCCCCCTTTTTTATAATAGGTGTCCGTTCTACATTATTATAAATGCCACTTACTACCCCTGATAAGTGCCACCTTTACCTCTGATAGTTGCCTCCATTCAATTTTGAGTGTTCCCCTTTAACTTTGATAAGTGTCTTGTCCTTCTTCTTGTCCCCTTCTAATAAGTGGCCCTTTACTTAAGAAGCGAGGGGGGGGGGGGGGGAATAAGAGGACACTTTTTTTTTTTTGGTCGCGAATTTTTTTTAATTGACATTTTGCTCCGTTAGGGGGGGGGGGGTAAGGTCACCTTTTTAGGTCAGCCATTGGCATATATATATATATATATATATATATTTTTTTTTTTTTTTTTTTTTTTATAATATTTTTTAAAATATATATATTATATATATATTTTTTTTTTTTTTTTTTTTTTTTTGGGGGGGGGGGGGGGGGGGCCGGGGGGACATTTGGGGCGAATTTAGGGCTGATTTTAACATTTTTATTTTGGGCCTGGAGGGCACGTGCCCCCTGTGCCCCCCTCCCCCTCCCCTGGATCCGCCACCGCAGATATCATGGAAAATGTTCTTGTATTTTATATTTAGCAAACCAATCTCACAAACAAATTCACTACCAAGTGTCGTCTAATCCGCCGATTGTCGTCTGCTATATACGTCCAGCGAGCGAAAATGAGACAACCGGAGCAATATGTAAATAACTACATTCATGATCAAGATCCCCCTCCCCCCCCTCTCTCTCTCTCTCTCTCTCTCAATCGATCTCTTTCTTTTATTCATACCTACCAACTCAACAAACTCACTCCCGTTTCGTTCTCTTTCGCTGTCTTCTATTGACATACACACTCAGTTAATCCCCCTCTTCATTTGCCCCATCCAGCTTATCGTTCATGGTACCGGTATACTCTAAAAATATTATCGATAGTGCCTTGGATGAAAGTTGTATGTCATTCATGTATGCAAGGTGATCATATGATATCTTAATGACTGTAACTTAATATGACTCAAATTTCGATTATAATCAAACGGTCAGCTGAAGTTATTACATGATTACCGTTTATTCCATGTTGTTAAAATACATTAATATTATTTTCTGAAATCTCCAATATTTCTAGCGGTCACGTCAATCACTTGTTTATTACAATTGTGTAAACATTTAATTTTCTTTGATTCGTTTCAGTAAAAACAAGAATATCAATTTTTCTCACTGTTTCCCAATTACAAACATATGAACTTTGACTAACACCTGTGTTAAGTTAAATTGTTAATAAAGTGAGAAACTTGAAATATATTAATATATAGACATGCTTTACAATACAATACAATAAAGTCATTTCTATAGCGCTCTTACAAACTAACCGTTGTTTCACAGCGATTTACATAAAAGTTATCAAATAACCTATTGTTGATCATGGTCAAAGAGGAGAGTTTTGAGACATTTTCGGAAGACATCCAGCGAAGGTGCTAATCGAATAAAACGTGGAAGCTCATTCCAGAGTCGAGGAGCACATGCACGGAAGCATTGTCAGCTTTGGTGTACGTTCGAGGAACGTGTAGCAGGTCGCTGTCAGTACACGAGCGAAGGCCAGGACGAGCAGATTGGTAGGGTACGATGAGAGAATTGAGATACACTGGAGCTTTGTTTTGGATGCACTTGTAGACAATCGTCAGGATCTTGAACTCAATGCGTTGCTTGATTGGAAGCCAATGTAGTTCTTTAAGCAACGGGGTGACATGATCGTGTTTACGGGCCAAGTAGATCAGCTTTGCTCCGCGATTCTGAATCTTCTGGAGACGCTTTATTTGTGATGACTTGATCCAATACAATAATGAATTGGCATAGTCAAGACGAGACAACACAATAGCTCGGACAGCATGCTCACATGCTTTCGCATCTACGAAAGGTGTGATACGAGCTATATTTGATAGGTGGTAGTGAAGTCCACGACAGAGGGTTGACACATGACGATCCATCTTGAATGCTAAATCAAACTCCACACCAAGACTTTTTGCAGCAAATGTTGGATTGATCGAGAGGCCAGAAATCGACAGTTTGACATCAGATGCATACTGCCGTGCTTGTGGGGTAGATACTACAAGAAACTCAGTTTTGTCACAATTTAGCTTCAGCATATTACACGCCATCCATTTCTGCAGATACTCAACACAGCTTGATAAAGATGAAAGAGCATGGTTCACTGATTATGTACTCCTAGGATCAGCAAAAATATACGATAAAATATCGTCTGCATATGAGTGATAGCGCACACCTTCATACTGTCCAATTATGTCCGATAGTGGTTGCGTGTACATGCTGAAGAGTCGCGGCCCGATTACTGATCCTTGCAGTACGCCGTAATCAAGAGACTGTTGAGTAGATAGTTCACATGTTACTTTGCATCTGCTGGTGCGACCCGACAGGTAAGAAGTGAACCAGGACAAAGCACTACCTGTGATATTAAACACTTCGGAGAGTCGATCAAGAAGGATTGTATGATCTACTGAGTCAGAGGCAGCTGAAAGATCCAGGAGAATAACAAAAGTCACACGTTTCATGTCCATAGCCTGCAGGATATCATTCTTCATCTTCAAAAGTGCTGTCTCCGTGCTATGATGCTGTCGATAGGCTGACTGACAATCACTGTTTAGCTCATTCAATGTGTTTTTAAAACATATGAATTTTTCAAAAATTCCAATGTTCTGTTTCCGTTACCATGGTAATGGTCCGTTGAGGTCACACCCACAGCCAACATTAGAGCGAAAAGCACTTTCAGTAGCCAAGGGTCCTAACTATCTCTTTTTCTCAATTAATCTCTTTCTTTCTTTTACGCCTATATATTCAATTTCTTACAAATTCATTCCAACTCCCTTTCTCTCTCTTCCATTGATCCATACACTCAATCTCTCTATTCGGCGTACACCTCGCCGCCACCCACCCCCCCCCCCCCCACCCCCAAATGCTTGAAGTTGCAGCGGAAATGATCCACGGCAATTGCAGTCGTGGTAGTAGTTGGGCGGATCTCAGCTGCCTAGAAACGATACGTTCATCACAAACACATAATTATATACACCCTTACACATACACAACAATACTTTAGGTTCGGATGGAGTTGTTAAACGCCCCTATATAATAATTGGACTCAATGTTTTCCCATATCGCGGCGCACACAGACCTACTTTTTCCAAAGGAAGAGGTATGGTTGCCCATCAAGGAAATATCTGCCTGTAAAGGAAATGTATTTGTTTCCTTCAACTGTAATGGCTCTGAATTGATGGATTTAAATCAATATAAATTTACATCCTGTAATTTTCGTTGATGTATTTATCCTGAGGTTCATTTTAATGTCAAATTATCATATCATTAATGAGATATTAAATTTTGAAAAATATGTGTTGCTTTGTCAAAAGTAGCAACAAAATATATTCATCAAGAAGTTGAGCAATAACGCAAGGCAATACCATCAAGAGATAAGTAAGACTTCGTCGTGTTGCATTCACGAGGGGGGCACAGAACGGTATATCTGACAACTGAAAATGAAAACAACAGAGTGATCATGGTGATAACTATAGTCCGCCATGTAATCTGGTGAGGTTGCCGGATGATCCTTACGTGATAAGGACATTATGATGTGAATTGTTTGTATCTTAATAATAATTGTTGGTCATGGTTATATTTTTATATTCTTTTTGCAAATAATTTTTCAAAAATGTGATAAAATTTGCTGCGATATTTTGAATAATAAGAGCATGCACATTTCTTTTTTTAAGGTACCAATGTTTGGATAAAATAACATAAATCTTTGCTTTAAAAAGAAAAGATAATTGTATTGTCTGCATATCATGATTATGGAGACTTAACTGGAAATGGATTTGATATCACATTTTTCTGTCTATATAATTTTTTTTCCACAGCATTATGGAGCCTTTGCAGGACATCGAGCTGATATCACTAGCTGAAGACATAGGTCCGGGCAAATACTCAAAACTGTGCAACGCTCTGGGGTATTCCTATGCAGTAAGTCAATCACACATCGTCAAACATCTCAACAACGTCAATGAAGCTCTGGTGGAGCTCCTCATCAAATGGAATAACAATCAAGGAGACAGCACCCAAACTCGATCCATACTAGCAAGCAAACTCCATGAATTACGACTTGGCAATTTAGGTGATAGACTATCGGAAGGTAAATCTTGTTTGAATTTTCACCGAGCTCATAGAAATATATATATTGTAACGAAAATAAATCACAACTGTTACAGACTGCTCTCGTTCTCAAACTGTTGTCTCTTTTCAGTTCTCACTCAGTCTCCCTCTCGTTCATGCGTGTATACAAAACATATGCGACAGAAGAGATGTACTAGGTCATGAATTTCAGTTCAATTCGTCGTTTATTATTTTAAGTAATGACAGCTCAATATAAATCGTGCTCTCTAAATACAGTCATGTACAGTGTACTATCAAGACGCTTGCAGATTTGAAAACCGGCGAGAAGAAGTCTTGAGGAGAAGTTCCGAGGAGAAGTCTGTCTCTCGATTTAAGATCTATCTGGCTTTATATAGAGAGCTTTATTTCTACTGTTTTCTAGTAGGCCGACCTTCCAGCAAGGATACAACCCGACCTGGAGCTGAGGGCAGAGTCTGTCCTCCAACTGAGGACAAAGTCTGGCCTCAGCTCGGGGTCAGTTGCGGGGCCGCACTCGACTGAGTGTCTGAACTTGCCGTTACGTAAGACGAGGTCAAACTCTCTTGCCCAGCGAGACCCTGGGTTTATGCAAAGTCTGACCCCGGGTCCGACCTCGACTCGGGGTCAGTCGGCGGTCGCACGCGACGAAGTATCTGTCCTTGCCCTTACGTAATACAAGAACAGACCCTCGGAACGAGCGTGGCCCTGGGCTTGCGCAATATAAATTCCAGATGCGCTCTCGAGGTCGAAAAGAAGGACGCGCAGGCACTGATGAAAAACAAAAATCTACTCAAGGACTATAGAGTTTGACTTGCACAACAATATACCGAATAATGAACTATGAACATGATACAGACATATCTAAATTCGTTACAATATATAGGTCCTATTACTCCTATAATACTGCCAATTTCCAATTTTATTATGAGAGAAAAATGAATCGGGAAAAGCTTCATGCTTTGAATCAAGCTGTTTATTATCTTGCTCACAATTTTTCAAACTGAACGTCTTTTACAAGTGATTTTTAATAATACGCCATTAAAAGCATGGTACGTATCGTTTACAAGTAACATGATGCATCCCATAGACATCAAATCGAGCCCAAATATCGAGTGAGAAAACTCCCTAAACTCTTCATGGATTGTCGGCCCCTAGCCTCATAAGTCGGGGAAATTATTTTTGTGACATGCTACATCGTTCCAAAACATTAATTCATAGATACAGTAATGGCCATATTAAAATGCTGCCATTCTTACTATTATTACCACTCATAACTGTTACTACTACTACTGTACTACTACTACTACTACTGCTACTACTATACTACTACTACTACTACTATTACTACTACTCCTACTACTACTACTACTACTACTATTACTACTACTACTACTGCTACTACTACTACTACTACTACTACTACTACTACTACTGCTACTACTACTGCTGCTGCTACTACTACTACTACTACTACTACTACTATACTACTGCTATTACTACTCCTACTACTACTATTACTACTACTACTACTACTACTACTACTACTACTACTACTACTATTACTACTACTACTACTACTATTATTACTACTACTACTACTACTTCTGCTGCTGCTACTACTACTACTACTACTACTACTACTGCTGTTGCTACTACTACTACTACTACTATTACTACTACTACTACTACTACTACTACTACTACTACTACTACTACTACTACTATTACTATTATTACTATTACTACTACTACTACTACTACTACTACTACTACTACTACTACTACTGCTGCTACTACTACTACTACTACTACTATACTTCTTCTACTAGATACTACTATGACTGTAACTACTAGTGATACCAATACTACTACCACTACTAATACTGAAAACTATAATAGTTCTACTGCTACTACTTCTACTACTACTAAAACTATTCTACTACAATTGAAACTACAACACATATACCACGACTACTATATTAATGCTAACTCTACTACTAAATATACTATACTAGTTATACTACTACTACTACTACTACTACTACTACTACCACTACCACTATTACTACTACTACTAAAACTATTCTACTACAATTGAAACTACAACACATATACCACTACTACTATATTAATGCTAACTCTACTACTAAATATACTCTACTAGTTATAATACTACTACTACTACTACTACTACTACTACTACTACTACTACTACTACTACTACCACTACCACTATTACTACTACTACTACTACTACTACTTCTACTACTAGCGCTTAGAGACTCCGGTGGTAAGCGCTTTTTAAGTAACGTTTTTATTATTATTATTGTTATTATTATTACTACTACTACTACTTAAACTCCTGCTAGAACGCCTACTACTAGTAGTACCACTAAACCTACTACTACTACTACTACTACAACCTCTACACTTCTATTACTACTGATTCCTCTGTTATGTACGTGAGTTAAACTCGTCCAGCATTTAATTTGGGAATCATAGGTTTGCCTTTAATTAGTTTTGATGCTTTAATTATCACTGGGCTTAAATAAGTGAAATGGCTTTGAACAAGTCATGTCCCACTAGTGGTGCCATATTATGGCGGCAGCCAATGTGATTAGGGTTAAGACACGATAACTGAAATCAAAAAAAAAACTACCCTTTCTTTTAAAGTGATTATCATCATCCTTAACAATCGTTTGAGTTGCTTGTCTCCTTCATTTTATTATTGGACCCTAATAAAAACTAATTCGTATTGCTAGAGTGTTCCAGCCTATGGTAGCAGAAATAAAAGAATACATTGTTAATCTCTTGCAGGTAAATATCTACCTAACCAGCGGGACTCACATGACCACAAGAAAACTCCAGTGCAGACTAGCCCAGGTATGATTATGTTATGGCGCCGTATTTATTCTAATTAACTATTTACGTTTTGTGTGCTTCTTATTACTTTCTTCTGGATAAGCGTATATAAAAAAAGTCGAACCGTACGATTGACACTTTGGTTGCATACTCTGCCTCTCTGTACGGTTGCACGCTTATAAACACCACACAACAAATAGGGAGCCCCCTTTATAAACGAATCATTATAATTTCTATAGCAAGTCTAATTCAAGGATCGCGTTTATACAATTCAAGTTGTCAGAACGACCAAAATTGTACCTAACACATTTTGAAGAATTTCTACCATTAGCAAACGGGCACATTTCTTAAATGGGGGCTGACGCCTCTTGCCCAAAACTTGTTAGAAAATTCCTTCGCTCCTGAGAAGTCAGAAGAACCACTTTGATTATCTTAAGTATTATATTATATACTGGATTTAATATAAACAGATTATTTGGGTACCGTGCTGCAAGGATTATCTTCCTTCTAAATGCTATGACCGAGCAAGGCGAACAGGATAAAACACTTTTTTAAAGTAGAAATGTCATGTAACCATCAAAATAAACTTGATAAGAAAATTATGAGAATTGAACCTCATTGCTTAAAGATATTCTGGCACCTTGCCTGCTGCCCAAAATTAAGTTTTATTTTTTGAGAGCGAGTGCTGCATCCGAGCAAAATACACCATTTATTATTTGTATCTTTTGCCACAAAGAAAAATACCCATGCTTTGATTCGATTCTGGAAATTCCTTTTTAATAATAACAGAATGCTGATGCTAGTATAGAGACCCTCTCTAACAAACACAGTTACATCACACAAAGTCTCAAAGCACTCCTGCCATTAGTTTCCCATGAATGAAAGCATTGACCAAAACATTGAATATTGTTTTAAATCATGATTTCGTCATGTGTTTCGCTGAATTACGCATCTCATTTAATATATATCTGATAAAAGGGGAACGAATGATAATCGACTATTACATTTGCGAGTCTGTGTGCGTTTTTTTTTAACTTGACATGTGTTGTGCCAAGAACAGCCATTGTAACTGAAATTCTAATTGGCAATAAAGTAATGATACTAAAATCAATGTTTATTTAGTTTTCATTATAAAAATAGACCTAAAAATCCTAACTGTATTAATCATGGCTCCCTTAATCTATGTGTGTTTGTTTGTGTACTATAAATACATAATTTTCCCCTTTTTTTACCATTCGGGTTTACTATATGATCTTATCCTTGCTCTTTCATGTAATGCATTATCTTATTACCGATACGTTTATCATTATCAATGTTCAATGCATAGGTCTGGAGTAGCGGAACATCTTTCAAAGTGAGAGGGGGCACCAACTAAAGAGGGCACTTTGGGGGAAAATACAAAGGGTAATCTCAAAGGGGAAAATATAAAATGAGACATTGGTATAAATTATATAACCCTATATTATAATCGTTTTATTCTAAACAAAGCATCTGGTCCAGACCACATTTCTAATAAGGTTTTGAACATGTGTAGTCAACAACTCGCCTATGTTTTTACACGTATTTATCAATTGATCATGAATGCTGTTAGGATTCTTCGTCTTTGGAAATCCTCGATTATTATTCCAGTTCCTAAGATGAAAAACCCTAGTGAACTGAATCAGTATAGACCAGTAGCTCTTACATGCAATCCTATGAAATGTGTTGAACGGTTACTGTTAAGACGTCTGAGAAACCAGGTAAATATGTTTGACAAGACTCAGTTTGCATATCAGAACAATAGAGGTGTAGAAGACGCAGTACTTGTTTTTCTACAGGGTCTCTATCAGGATGTGGATACTCCTAGGTCTTATGTTAGGTCTGTGCACATAGATTTCTCAAGTGCCTCCAATTAAATACGATTGTACCTCACATACCGATATATAAAGTACTTAATATGAATGTCACATCTGTCCTGTTAGGATAATCCATAATTTCCTTGTAGGCAGACCACAGTGGGTTAAGTGCAATAATCTGAACTCTATCATCAAATGTCTGAATCTGAGTGCTACTCAAAGATGTGTAATTTCAACAATTCTCTTCTCGCTCTATATTAGTGACTATACCATCACCAATGATAATTGTTCACTAATCAAGTAAGCAGATGACACTAATATAACTGAATTCCTTCAAGGAGATACCTGCCCATATTCTAGAGAAGTTGATCAATTCGTAAACTGGTGCGATCAGCACCATCTGGTCCTTAAAGAGAAGGTTCTTTGATTTTAAAAACTAACTTTATTGTCATTATTGCAAAGTTGAAACTTTGAGTGGACAAGATAATCAAAATTCAATGCTTGGAAACATTCGAAGTAATTATTATTATCAATTACAAAACGCCTAAATACATTCTTTGCATAGCACCTGAAAAGCTCTCCGATCGCTGCTGAGATGTGTGACGTCACATGTTGAACATGATTTGCACAAGCAGACGATGTCCCATGACATCTTACACATTTTCAGTGCCTGTTTTATGATCTTCCCTTCAGTTATTTCTCTTACTTCACCACCCTCAGGACTAATGTTTAATCTATGGTCTCACTCTAAACCCCGCGCATGGTATTATTTTAATGAAAAATGCAAGGATAAAAAAAAAAGGAATCCGTCGCTTGTAAACAAAATAAGACGGGATTGTATCAAAGAGATACCACAAGCTGGTATATCTTTGATTGTATTGTCAGCTGCATATACACCGCCGTATGTTCAGCGTTTCAAGAGGGAACAAATGCCGTCCATGCTATCATTCCGGGGGTTTTCAATTTGAAAATTTGGTTTCTTTGATTGTTCATTAACCTCTATCCTGGCTATTTAAAATTCCATCACATTTATATACACTAAACTCATTATATTTTGAAAAATAAAAGCATTGCAGTTATGTTTATTCTTTATGGGATGTCGTCTGCTTGGGCAGGATTGGTTCATATCGCGACGGCATTGAAACATCGTTAATTTTCTGGCGAATCTCTAGCATATCCTGGATGCTATGGAAGTAGTTTTATTTGTATTTTTATAAATTACCCGATATGTACTTAACCTAAAGCTTGTATGATGGCCATCTGTTAGCTTACCAGTTTCCAGTGATACGTTATTTGCCATATTTGTGATTTTCTTTGAACAGGCACTTTAACGTTAACAAGATTAAGGAAATGGTATTAGATTTTCGTCGTTCCTCTCAGCCTCGTGACCCGTTGGTTATCCATGATCAAAACATTGAGCGATTTTCCGAATATAAGTACTTGGGAACAAATGTTGATAATAAACACCCAAATTATAGCAGGCAAAGTGAGTCGACGGTTACACTTTTGAAGGAAACGTAAGGAGTTTCATGTCGATAATATGATCCTGGTTCTCTTCTACCAATCTCTTATACAGAGTATCCTGACATTCAATTTCTTGTGCACCTTTGGTAATCTCACAAAACAAAATCAGAGAAAGTTAGATAGACCCAGGCAAATTGCTCAGCGGTTGATTTATTCAGAACTCCCCCCTATCAGTACGCTGTATACAATAATGAATGACTAATCACATTCATTACATCATTTCTCTGGATATCACCGCTCAAGTATTCGCCTACGCGTACCCAAAAGCAACCGCTGCCGTTACAGACAATCATATGTTTAATGCTAATGGTAGACGATAAATATGACCCTATTGTTGACGAATCGATCCTTTGACAGTCTCTTGCCAGCCGGCTAGTAACTCCATGGTAAATCTAACACTTGCCAATTAACCTCCTGTTGAATCTTTCCTTGCCTCGGCTCTGTTACGTATAATCAGGATCATAAAGCCGGTTTTTTAAATGTGCCACATATTAATGTGTTCGGGTAGGGTGCGTGGGTCTTGTCGGGGTGCCTGGATGCGGGTGGCTCCATTCACCTGTTCAATTCAATTCAATTTTATTTCGCAATATAAAAATCAAAATATACAAAGTAACAGTAAATTTGAACTATGTTTACAAAGGTTATATGCGGGGCTTTCCATGAAGGTTGCGAAAACCTGTGAAGTTGGTTCGCCCATTAAATAATGAAAAACAATACAAAAAGAAATATCAAATATTATAAGCACACAACAATAAATTGAGTAAAATAAGCAAAGTACAAACACTTCAACTATGTATGAGACAAGAGAAAGTAAAATAGAAAGAAAAACAAAATATATAAAGGGGGAAAAGAAAGAAAAAGAAAACAAAATAACAATGAAAGAGGGTTCAGCTATACAAAATCAAAACAAAATCAACAACTGTGCTGATTAATAATTATTTAGTAGTAAGATTTTATATTGTTTTCTAAAGGAAGATATGAATTGTGATTTCGTTATTACTTGGGGAATCATATTCCACTGTTTAGGACCTAGATAACTCATTGATTTAGCTTCATAATTAGACTTATCAGACCATAAATGAAATTTGTTGGAAAATCGTGTATTATAATTATGAATTTGACTATTATATTGAAAGAGGTCTCAAAAGGGGTAGGTAACAACTTGCTTTTATATTTGTACATGAGCGTTGCGATTTCTTGCTTATTTATATCATATATATTTAATAACGATAGTTTCTTAAACAAAGGTGCGGATGGTGCTAGATAATGAGAATTGGTAGCTATTCTTAAACATTTCTTTTGAACTTTAAATAGTGAGTTTAATTCAGTTTGTGTTGCATTGGTAGCCCATACAATATTACAATATTTCAAATAAGGTAAAATAATGGAATAATATAAAGTTATCACATTTTCGGGTAACAAACTATATTTTAGCTTATTTATCAAGCCAGCATTTCTGGCGATCTTATGTAAAAAAAAATGGTAATATGGTCCTTAAATCCCAATCAATTATCTAATACGACACCCTAGAAGTTAACGGAATTACTTAGTTGAATAAGTTTATTATTAATATAAATGGGAATATTATCGTTATCATTTAAAGGACCGTTATTGCTAGCTATATCGGAAATTTTAGATCCTATATTATATTTAGTTTTTCGAAAATAAACACATTTAGTTTTGTCAACATTCAGGGACAATTTATTTGCTTCTAAAGGTAAAGAACAGTATTGGAAACGCTCCAATTTCAAAAAATGAAATGGAAGCTCTTATTACCAATCATGTGAAAGAATATGTTTTGACTATATACATGATGATAACAAATTTGCCGGGAAACCGCCTATTAATTGATATATTTGGTAAATTTGTTTATCTATTGGACTGTGAGAGATAAACGCACGTGTGCGTAGTTCCATATACATCTTTCTGTGTACAGTGCTCGTACCTTTACGAAGACTGGGCCAAATTTCTTATCATGTTGATGATTCCAGAGCCTTGCACTACACACCAATACTTATTATGCTAGATGGTGAACCTTTTCTGATCGATTCCACAACGTTTCTTTCACAATGCAATCGCATGACCATAACAGGTCTTTATCTTTAATCAGTCAGATATATTATTGAGCTCATTATTTAGAGCGCGGACAGTATTATTCAAATCTTTAGATGAAAAAACATACTAGTGTCATCAGCAAATTGATAGAAGGTTAATAAATTAGATGATTTACAAAGATCATTTATGTATAAAAGAAATAGCAGGGGGCCCAGTATTGATCCCTGAGGTATCCCAATATAGACATTTAACGAAGAAGACAAAACACCGTGGACTAAAGTATGTTGAACTCTGTTTGAAAGATAGTCCCTAAACCAGTTTAATGCAATCCCTCGTATTCCACATTGTTGTAGTTTAAATAAAAGTATCGAGTGATCCATATAATCAAATGCCTTAGATAAGTCTAAGAAAATCCCTTATATATGCTCGTTAGCTTGAAATGAATCTAATATTTTTTTGTTGGACTTTTAAAAGAACATGTTCACAGGAATAGCTGGGTCTAAATCCATATTGAGATTCACTAAAAATATTGTTGATATTTAAACATTCATAAAACCGATTATAGATTAGTCGTTCAAGAAATTTAGAAAAACATGGTAAGAGGGATATGGGTCTATAGTTTACAAATTGTCCGGGATCGTCTTTCTTTCCAGGCGCTATCTATCAATACATTGTAAAGGATCATTCTCAAGATACTGATTCAGCATACCGCTTTGTGTTTGTGTATTATGGTTTGAAGATTCATTTGCATTTAAATCTTATTGTTTAATCCGAATGGTGTTTGAACATAATCTCATGATTGAAGGTTAAAACATTTATATCAGTCCAAGTGAGATAATAGCGAGGTGGATACAGGGAAATTCTAAATAAATATGCTCTCAGTTGCTTTAAATTAGGAGGGCATTATGTGACGGAGGCTATCATCAATAAGTTGTTGTAGGGAGAGGAAGATAAAAACAACATTTCGTCTCTTTTCATCGCGATTGACATATCAATACGAACACTATCAATACGGAAGAAAGGGCCACTTGTCAGAATTAAAAGGGGACCTTCGTATGAAGCAGCATTTATAAGGTAATGCATCACGAAAATAAAACCATCATTACAACAACTTACTGAGCACATCCAGGATAAAGGACTTGCTGAGCCTATGCAATCGGCATACAAAGAACACCATAGCACTGAAACAGCACTACTTAAGATTCAGACGGATTTACTTCAAGCCATTGACAGTCAGAAAGGAGTAATGATGGTGCTGCTTGACTTGTCTGCTGCGTTTGACACAGTGGACCATACGATTCTGCTGAATCGTCTTGAAGACCATTTTGGTATTACAGGTCTCGCTCTCAAGCTTATCCATTCATACCTTGAAGACCGGAACAGCCATGTTCTGATCTCTGGTCAGCTTTCGAAAGCTTGTAGATTGCCACATGGAATTCCACAAGGTTCTGTCATCGGACTCTTGTTTTTCACCCTTTACATTCGTCCCATTGGTGATATTCCTCGGGCTCATGGAGTATTCGTTCACATGTATGCAGACGACATTCAGATGTTATGTGATGTTTGACCCAACTGATCCAGTTGCAATTGATGCTGCGCTTGGCAGACTCAGTAGTTGTATCACTGAAATTCAGCGTTGGATGAATGCGAACAAGCTCAAACTCAACGATGGCAAGACTGAATTCTTTGTCTCTGCTTCACCGCATCATCGGTCATCCTATCTAATGAACGATGTCAAACTGATGATTGGTGAGAAATCCTTCCCACCATGTAAGTCCATCCGGAATCTGGGATTAACACTTGAACCATCTGTAAACTTAAGTCTTCATGTCAACCTTCTCAGCAGAAGCATCAAGTACCACCTACGTAACCTGTGGAGGGTGAGGCGGTTTATTGATCAGTCAACATGCCACGCTGCGGCGAGGGCTCTTGTCCTGTCCAGACTAGACTACTGCAACAGTCTCTTCGTTGTTCTCAGCCAGAGGGACCTTGATCGCCTTCAGAGACTCCAAAACTCAGCGGAAAGGCTTGTCTTTTCTGCTCCTCTTCGGACTCACATAACACCTTTTCGACTTGAACTCCGTTGGCTGCCTGTACGACAGAGAATAGCTTTTAAGATCCTACTACTGGTCTATAAGTCTCTCAACCACCGATGTCCCCCGTACATAGCTGACTGCTTGGTTCGTCGTCCTCGAGTCCGAAATACCCGCTCATCATCATCCATCTGGCTCACTTAGTGTCTCTCTAAGAAACGTGCTGGTGAATTGTCTTTTCCATCGGTTGCTGCAAAACTGTGAAACCAACTACCTACTGCTGTGCAGACGGCCTCATCTGTTGACCAGTTCAAGAAACTACTCAAGTCACATCTATTCTGCTAGAAATTATTTTATTACCAGCCTACATATACTTTACTGATCTCTGAGAAGTGTCTAACTTTTGTTTTTAAGTGGCCCAAACATTGTCGAGCATGTGTGCAGCGCTTTGTAACTGCAAGAAAAAGGCGCTATATCAAATATCTTTTGGATTGGATTGGATTACGTGAAAGACAGCAACTAGGTTTATAGGCCATTACCGGGACCGTTTTCGAATTCATGAAATGTCTTTTTTGCTTTGTTTATTTAAATTCTTTTTTATTAAAATTTGTATTCCCCCCCCCCCTCTAAATTACCTAGGTTTCGATTGTCAAGATCATACTTCTCTGCTTAAACACGACAAAAACACTCCAACTATTTCGCAGCCCCAGTCCCCGCACCCGCTGAAAAATCCGAGGATTACCATGATGACCTGCTGAATTAACTGATGAATGTTTATAATAAGTTTCTTACTCTTATTTTAATTGTGTGTATTATCCCTATAGTTATGGCGGCACATGGAGGTATTGCCGATGTTCTTCTCTTCAAGCTGGCTGAAGACATCGAGACGGGTGAGCAGATGGAGGCCTTGGGACAAACACTTGGATTCAAGGTCGCAGAAATCAATAGATACACAGAGACCAACAGGATAGAAGGACGGGTGACTTGTAAGGGGACACGTGAGATGCTGTTTGACTGGAGACAGACCGTGAAGCCTTGCGACCAGCATCATAGACTGAAACAAGCTCTCATTGACGCTAAACTGATCATGCTTGCTGATACACATCTGAAAGGGACACAAATTATTCCAGGTGGGTCTATCGGTGGTAGAGTGCCTAAAATCACATTTAAATCTTATACCTATAAATTGTTTTGAGAACATGAAATTTGAACATTTCCTTTACCTAATTAATGATAAAGAGCAACTGTTTCTGTCCAATGATACCCTATTCATAATATTTCTGCCACGGATGATTGAGCACCAGGGTCTTTAAAAAGTGTTGTCAAAATCACCTTGTACCAATGTTTGGGCTGATAGATCGAATGTAGGTCCTGCCATATTGCGGTTCTAGGACACCTACCGCCTGGATTTTCACCCCCGGATAACATCCCTAGTCAACTACCCCCTAGGACTAGGGCAACCACCCTCTAGGACGACTACCCCCCCCAGACAACTGCCCCTTAAACAACTACCCCCGTACAACTACCCCTAGGACACCTACCCCCCCCCCCCCCAGACAACTACCCCCTACGACAACTACGGTACCTCCGGACAACTACCCCCGAACAACTACGCCCCAGACAACTACCCCCTACGACAACCATCTTCTAGGACAACTATCCTAGGGGGTTGTTGTCCGGGGGTAGTTATCCGGGGGTCCATGTCCGGGGATAGTTGTCGGGGGTAGTTGTCATAGGGAGTAGTTGTCTGGGGGGAAGGTAGTTGTCCGAGGGAAGTTGTCACGGGGATAGTCTTCCAAGAGGGTGGTTACCCTAGAGAGTAGTTGACCTAGGGGGTAGTTGATTCGGGGTGGTTATCCGGGGGTAGATGTCCAGGGGGTAGGTGTCCGGATACGCATATTGCATGCGCTTCTTCAGTCTACTATCTTCATGTCTCATGATATCTTAGTTATAACTGGCCATTTGTTCGCTACGTCATTTCACACATGTAAAGAACAAAAGCTGTTTATCTCGAATAGCAAATTAATGAAAGGTTACTACACCGCGGCGGAGCGACTTTCAAAGTAGGGGGGGGGGCACCAACAACAAGGGCACTTTCTGGAAAAAAGGGGCACCTACAAAGGGAAATCTCAAAGCGAAAATATACAATTTTTTTGACATCGGTGTATACCCCTATAATTTGATTACATTATCAGAGATGATTTCAATATTTGTTTCCCTTTATACATCGTATACAATATTGCTTAAGCATCATACCTTGCAGTTGGGTGTGTTGGTCGAAACATGATAGTAACATATTATACCATCTATAAATGTAAGCGAGCTTTGGGAGATATTGCTCTAAGTCGCTTGAAATTAGGGGCACGTTTAGTGATGAGAGGAAAAGGGAACACTTATCGAAGGGATAAGACACTTATTACAAAATAAAAGGAGCACGTGTGAAAGTACAAAGGCTAAATTATCAGAGGTGAAAATGGGGTACTCACAAGGGATGAAAAAGGCACTAATGAGAATGGAAAATGGGCATTTGTCCACGGAAAAAAGGCAACCATCACATTTTGATAGGGGCATTTATAAGAAAGGGATAGGTTCCTTATAAGAAAGGGAATGGGGCACGTATCATTGTTAAACAGGATAATTTATTAGGAAGGAAAAGGGGCACGTGTCAAAATAAAAGGGGCTGTTATTAGAGATGAAAAGAGCACTTATCAGGAGGAAATCGAGTATCTTTCAGAAATGAATAGAGTCATTTACCAGACATAATAGTATGAGAATGAAAAAGGACTATTTTGATAGGAGAAAAGGGGCATTTATGAGAAGGGGAAGGGCTCTTTATTAAATTGGGACACTTATCATAAGGAAAAGGGGAACTTATTAGAAAGGAAAGGGGCACATGTGAAGATATAAGGTGGGCTTATCCGAGTTAAAAAGGGGTAGCTATTACAAAGGAAAAGGAACAATTGTCAAATTAAAAGGGGCAACTCTAGGATTTGAATAGGGCAATTACCAGAGGTGCAGGGGGAGCTTAACACAGATAAAAAGGGGCGCTTCTCGTACCCGAAAAGGGGCACTTACTAGAGATTAAAAAGAGCACTTATGGGAATGGAAAATGGACACTTATTGCAAAGTAAACTGGGAACTTGTCAGGGAAAAGAGGTACCTGTCAAAATAAAAGGGGCACATATCAGAGGTGAAAAGGGGAGGGGCACTCTTAATAATTGATAGGGGCACTTATCAAAGTAATAGGGGCACTTTTATAGTAAAAAGGGGCGCTTCTTACAAAGTTAGAGGGGCACTTTTCCTATGTAAAAATGGGCACTTTTGGGGTACTTGAAAAAGTGTGATTTTCTCTTTGAAATTCAGATAGCGTCCGCCAAATGACTTTTATTTTCCTCTCTTCAAATTCATTTTAATCATCATATGAGTTGCATCAAATGAAAGAGGAGGATCTAAGCTTTCCAAATATGTGTAATTTATTAATATAAATGTGACTAAGTTATGATAAAACATCGATACTTTTCGGTTTGATTTGCGAAGCTCATATTGGCAATTTGGTCAGTTGATTGTGACGTAGTTACGGACAACTCTCCCGTTTTTTGTGTACAAAAATATCATTATTCTGTTTTTCTTTTCATAAGCACCTTCTCCCTTTGAGGCACTACTCAAAATATATTATGGATAGCATAAATATTATATGTCCTTTTAAAATGGAAGGTCCTCCTGAGAGTAACACATTTCGACAAATTGACATTTGAGTAATTCCGTGTGTTGGACAAATTGGGAGAGATGTCTGCCACTATCATGGGTGTCGATCCCGGGGGGGGGGGGGATGGGGGGATATATCCCCCCAATATTTCAGGTGGGGGGGGGGGGGGAGGGGTGGCCTGTACAATCACCGTTCCCCCCCCCCCCCCAAAAAAAAAATAAAAAATAATAATAATAATAATAATAATAATAATTACCATCACAACAAAAATGAAGAGAAAAATTAATGATGAGAGCCCGATGAGAGTAGTTAATGGTTATTACTCTCAAGATGACCATCAATATACACATTTTGCTATCTCATTTTCATAATACATACATAATATAGAAAACGAAGTAAATGAGACAACCGTATATGAGACAAGAATAAATTGAATTATTGCTCATACGGCTTCATCAGGAATTTATGAATTTATTAAATTTATTCAATCAACAGCATTGTAGAAATGCAGTGCGCCAAATGCAAAGCCGCAGCGTTAAAAAGCAACAAGCTAAATGTTAAGCGCGAAGCGCAAAAGTGCAAAAAAGAAGTAGAGAGTGGGAGAGAGAGATAATGAGAGACAGAGAGGATAATAACCCAGGTAGCAAGCCCATGTGGGACCCATATGGGTCCCATATTCTCTGAAACATGGGCCCCATATGGAAAACCATCTGGTGCCCTAAGGCATCTGCACCCAAGAAGCATATAGGACCCATATGGATAAACCCATATAAGACAGATGGGACCCAGATGGGACCCATACCAAACTGGGCCCAAATGGGTATACCCAGCTTAATCCCATCTGGTACCCATATTGGTTAACCCAGATATATCCCATGTGGGTTAACCCAGATTTTCCCCATGTGTTACCCATATGGACATATTCATATTCTACCCATATATGTACGCCCAGCTCATTCCCATCTGGGACCCATAAGGGCTGGCTGAGATAGATCCCATATGGGTTACTAAATATTGGCCCCATGTGGGATACATATATGGGTTCCATTTAGCCCAGATGGCACAAGTGACCCAGATCATCCCCATATGGGCCCCATATGGGCTTGCTACATGGGGAAAAGGGAAAAGGGGAAGAAACGGGCAGAAGAAAAAAAGGAAGAGGAAAGAGAAAAGGAAGACAGACAAGAGAAAGACGGTTTTTGTCAAAATGGCAGCATGTAGGAGACGAAACTTTCAGTTTGTTCCCTGATTCATACTCAGTATCTTTTTTGTTTTACTGATTTCATCCATTTCTTTGTTTATTCATATCTCTACATGTAAAACATTTGAAGAGCTATTTTCCGAAAGGAGCAACATCTTTTTTTAGCAGTTGGAGATAATGATATACATTTCCCTCTATTTACCTTGAACAAAATTATTAACCTAAATTACGAGAGAAATAAAGAACACATGCACCTTTTAATAACAATTTTCCATAGACACCTGAACAAAATCGGGT